CCCATATTTATATTTAATACACAAACAAAGAAAAACCAAAACATTTTGCATGGCTTGTACAAATTTCTTTTGCAGGAAACTCTGAGCGCCGATCATCGGATAAGAGCGACCAATTGACCAATTCATCTTACAATATTGAATATAACAAAAACCAAAAAAGCATTCATTTAACAAACAATAATAATTCGGCTACAACACCAGGTCTGTGTAAACTGCAGCAAAACAAAAGAACAAATCAAATTACAAAATAATTAAGCAAATCCATACTTAATACCCTCTAACTGTATAACACGAATAATTTAAACCCCTATGGTTCCCCCATGCTCCCGACTTTCGACCCCCCACCCGCAGCTACAAAAATATACAAAACATACCCACATTTCCTGCACACACACATTCAAAACTCACCAATCCAATCCAATCCAATCAGAATCAAGTACAAGGCACGTTTGATATATGAGTTGACTGATTGACTGACAGACTACAATGTATGTATGTGTGGTAGTGACCATATCCAATGTGCACTGTACTTGCGCAAGCAAACGAACACATTAAAAACTTTTGATTTGTTATGTTTATTTTTAAAATTGAAATCCTTGGCCTGCCGCCCCATTACGCACGCCCTTACTCACTCACACACCCACACAAGCACACGACACAAAACTTAATTCACACGCGAGCACACACACACAGAGGCAGGCTTACGAATAAAATTGCACTTGAATGTGCAGTGTGACCGTTCATCGGCTGCTGTTATTTGCATGAATGGGAAGTGCTGTAAATGTGGTGACGTCACAAAAATGCAAATGGGCCGTGGTAATGTTCAAGAAATTAAATTAGAATTCATGCTGTCCTATCAAAATTATGACACGAAAAAAATACATAAAGACATAAGCTATGCATGCTCGAGGGCTTTTAGCCCAACAAAAAGAAACAGAACATCAATTAATTCATGAGTTTGTTTATTTTTAGCAAAAAAATGCTTTTGTTTTTGTTTTTGTTGTTTTCAATTAATAAACACACTAAAAATACATTAAACGCACCCTTAATCACAGCGTCTATGCTACTGGCCATTTGCCACCTCTCCTTTAGCCTTTTCATTGCATGTCGAGTCTTGTCCCCCAATTGAGATTAATTGCGACATTGCTAAGAAAACTCAAGTGGAACACGCTATACAAGTAAAAATAAATATACAGTCCAAAGGTGTTTAACCAGCATACACTTTATGTATGCACATACATACATACATATACACTTATGTACATATGATAGCACAAATACGTACGCCTTGGGCTAGGAGTAGTAAAAAGTCATACCTGTGTATATTTACGAACGCCGCATTTATTATTTATTTACCAATTTAACGTCGTCACATACGCACTAGAGCACCTTGGAATGAACTTCATATGTATATCCCGATACTTCCTCAAGAGCCAGTCCGCTGTGCAGGGGTGGATCGGAGGGGAGGGGGTGGGAACGTTGACTGTTGACTTTCCCAGTTACAGCCTGCATGCCTAGTAATAGCTTTTCTCTTTTGATAAATCGAGTTTTAGTGCACCTCACCTAGCGCAATAAATCCTCAATTCCCCCTATCTGACCTGCGAATCGAATATCGATTTCAATCTAACTTTAATTCAACTTTTCTTTACTTCCTACACAGATCGCGCTGGCAACGATAGTTCCGGTAACGAGGGCAATGCCGGCTACACCGATGGCCAGAACTCTGATCCCCAGAACAGTCCACCCAGGGACAAGGATTACATGCGCCAGCAACAGTATCAGCAGCTGACACCAGTCAGCTCCGTCACGGGCAACATGAACAGCATCAGCCCGGCGCAGGCACAGACCGAGAAGCGTTCGCGACTCTTTCGCACATCAAGCAATACGATGGCTCTGGGTAGTGCCAGTAACGCGAGCATTGGGAACAACAGCAATGCGGTGGTCAAGCGGAAGCACACTCTCAGCCTGAGCGCCGAGCCGCGCTCCGCACTGGAGGCTTGCCTGTCGCCCACGAATGTGGAGCCGCGCAAACTGTTGCTGGATCAGCTGAGCCGCGTATTTGCTGGCGATGATAATGTCATACCCGAGGTGGTTACCATCATTAGTCCGCCCGAGGCTCTGGGCGGCAGCACGCTGCTGGCTAAGCTCGTCACATTGTTTGCCAATTCCTTTAAGCCGGCATTTGTGCCACAGAACACGGCTGAGGTCAAGGCTGTGCTCCAGGCGCTTATGGCCAAGATCCAAAAGTAGTAAGTGAACATCCCTTAATAGTTTTGAGCTGCAACCATTTAACATCTCTCTCTCTCTCTCTTTCTCTCTCTTCTCCCTAATCCAACTAGTTGCAACTCGAACGCCAAGCCACCCCACACGGTAAAGGTGCTGCTGATTGGCGGCGACTGGCTGCAGGGCGCGACACTGCGGCATTACGTTGAACTGCTGGGCGTACGTCCACCCGACTGGCTGAATCACTTACGGTTCTATCTGGTGCCCATTGGCGGCGGCAGCAGCAACGGCAGCGTGGCTCGTCACCTGAGCCAAATGGATCAGGCTTACGCCGCGATGTTCGGTTCCGAGAACTGGGCGCAGCTGTGCGAGCGTGCAGCAGCTACAGCGGCCGCAGTCAGTGCGGTGACCACAGTCAATGCCACAGCGCTGACGGCCAATCTGGCTGATGCGGGCTCCGTGGCCAAGTCGGACATTGCGGAGCTGGTGCAGCGTATACAACGCTATCTGCATGCGGCGGGGCCGTGCACACAGATTCCGATTGCGGAGGCCATGGTCAACTATAAGGACGAGGACTCGTGTCAAATCTTTGTGCCCTTTGTCAGCGTAAGTACAACGCAGATAATTCAAGTGTTTCATCCACATTTAAACATTTTCGTTTTGGCTGCAGGACGTACGTATTGGCTACTTGGATACGCAGGCTTCGCTGGACTTGGAGGAGAACGTCACGTCCAATATGACTGGCAGCGCTGGTAGCGGCAACTCCACGAACGCTTCTAGCAACCCCATACCCATTGGTAATCAGAGCAACACGAGTATGCACGGCGGTATGTCGGGCTCGCCGCCGCAGTCGCAGCAGCCACAGCAAGGAGGCCAGGGCATGGGGCGCATATCACCACCGCTGCAGACGCCGCCAGCGTCGGGCATGACGCATCGCGAGCGAGGTGCCAATGAGGCGCTGATAACGCCCTCGCAATCACAGACTTTGAGTGGTGCGCTGTCTGCGCCAGAGGCCGTTGAGCTGCAAGTGGACTTTTGGCCGATGGTGCGGCATGGCGAGGTGCATGCCAAGGAGTCAAAGAGCGGCATGTCGCGCGGCAGTGATGCGGGCGGCGGAAAGAGTAGCATTAAGAGTACGTTTAGGAGTCTGCAGGTGTGGCGCCTGCCGCAGAATGCACAGCAAATGGGTGATATGTCCAATGGACTGACTGTTAGTTTCGCCACCAAGGAGAAGAAGCAGAAGCAAAGTAAGCGGCCCAAAAGATAAACCATATTAGTTTCTAATACACTCAAAAATTATTCAATCTACAGTTATGCGTTTGGGCAAGAAAAAGGACAAGGAGCGTGATCTCGAGAAGGAGCAGTGCGTCGAGGGTGTCGCACGTCTAATATGCTCACCGAAGCAGTCACATCCCGTGCCGCTGCGTGGTAAGTGTTGCCTTTCGCTAATGAGATTTTAATGTTTATAATGATTTTGTTGCTCACAGTTTACATTGACGGCACCGAGTGGACTGGCGTCAAATTCTTCCAGTTATCGTCACAGTGGCAGACTCATGTAAAGAACTTTCCCATTGCCCTTATCGGCTGTACGCCCATGTCGTGTGCAGAATAAACCTAGTCAAACAAATACCCAATGCCCATTCTCATGCAGACTCGCTCGAACGCGAACAGACACATGCAAACATACAGAGAGCAAGGGAGCCGTACGGATGGACGGCAATTAATATTATTTACTAAGAAGAATGATAATTTATTTTATAGTTAATATTTGTAAATTTTTAGTTAATAAACTACGTATAGCTTCTAATGTTCTTTAAGTCCACAAAACGCAAACTTTGTGAATTTATCAAAAACCTCTCGACTTTTAACACAAGCATCACACATCAATATTCAATAACTAAAGAATTAGAATACATAGAGAAATTATAGAATCCAAACGTTTAACACTTGATCAAATTAACGCGTATCAAATATCCTGTACAAGTAAACCTTATCTATGTAGTTGCAGTTGCAAGAAATCAATTTCTCAAATCAAGTTTGTTAACCAGGTCTATTGAACAGTTGACCAAATGGTTTCGTTTGCAAACAGTTTTTAGATAAGCTTGTTCTTTAATCTAAACAGGTGCTAAACAAGAGTCAGGAGCATTGCCAGAAGAAGGGCTCTAGACTAGGCCACATGATCTCAAGCACTCTCTGCTCTTAACACAGCAACAGCGGATTGTAGTATATATACTCTGGCATTATCCAAACTAAACTAAAGAAGAAACTATCGTAAATATATAAATGATATTCAGCATACTCTAACTACAACTGCTTAGCAATGTGAATGCATATTTAACCAACCCGTCGTCTATATACTATCTAAATTCAGACATTATCTGTATGTGCAACTAAATATCTACTTATACAATAACTTATATATATATACCTATATATATATATACCTATCTAATCAGCATATTCTAACATATGTACTACTCTTATTGTTGTGATTTTTCAAAAATTCATAGTGCGAATAGCCGATTCAAAGATTGTACAAGTTAATATATGTAAGCAATTATATGCGTACACTATTTAGAAAAGATATGTAATGAATCTGTTTCGAAAACATTGTACTAATGGGGTGCGAACGTTGATCAATTTAAGATGAATGTCGAAAGCGTTGCGAATGAGTGCGAAATAACGTAAAATTAATTCAAGTTTAAGATGTGTAATTTATAATTGTATTATTAAATATATATATACACATATATATAACATTTAAAGACAGATCGAAAACAGTTTTATTTGTCAAAGACGCGGGATCATTGCGATTGCAGCATCAACCCACTTGAACCACTTGATATGGCAGATTGGTGACCACAATGGAGCGTTTCTTAAGGCCTTGGTCACCGTCAATGCCGCCAGGTGGCAGGAGAAATGTGAGGTGTTCGTGGCCCTTGGGCTGCGCAAATTCCACAAGATTGGCATTGCTTTCGCTTAACGCCGCCAAAGACCAAACAGCCAAGTTTCGTGTCTTGCCATGGCGTGCCACCACGTAGAACTTTAAAAGGTAAACATTTTTATTTTGGATATTTAATTTAATTAAATAATAACTCACCTTATCCTGGTCATCAATCAGATAGCCCACAATAAGTGCCCAGTGAGCGCGATGGCCAGATCTCTGGCAAGGCGCATGATTGACATCGGCATCATACCTGAATATTCAAGATTTATGTCTAGAATTAAGGTTAACCAAAGTTTCGTACAAATTCTCTTAATTGATACACACAATCGGTAGCACTTTATTTCAAGCAATATTAATACAATTTGAAAAATGCAGCATCTATTCCTTCCACTCCCACTCATCATCTACCCCACTCGCATAGGAGGCGAGACCAGTATAACGCCGTCCCCTCGCACAAATAGCATGGGAATGGTGCGTTTTGTGGTCTTGTACACCTCTTCGTACGTTTCTTCATCGATTTCAACGGTGGTTACTGTTTCCTCAGCATCACCTAGGACCATATTCAAGTGCTGGTCGAACGCGTGTAATCGTCCTCTCAATTCCCGCTCATTACGCATTTTTACGTACACTTTCTCATCCAAGCTGAGGCGAATTAGGTCTAGCGGCTCTTTGACCGGCAAAATTACCTGGCTGAGCTGCAAGTATACAAGTTAGCCCGCTAATGCTTTAGTTGCTGTACTTACGTACCTGTTCCTCTTCAGTTGCCATTTAAACAATTGAAATCTATAGGTTCACAATAAATTAGTAAATTATAAAAATATCGTGGAAAAACGTAAATCGTTTTGTTTCCTTTTTATGTACTAAATAATACCGAAAATTAGTATATTCTGAGTAGCACCACACGCGCTACCAGTGCTGCCCATAAACATACTACAAAACATACTGAATCAATTGCTGGAGAAAATATTTTTTGAAAAGGATACGGAACCAATAGACACGCTCCAGAGCATAGTTGCTGCTTGATTTGGTCACAATCTAAAAAGCCTTCATGAAAATGGCATGTCAATGGATTGCTTACATGCTTCTGCACCAATTCGTATAAATATTGCGCACTGAACATTTCGCCATTTATTGTGTACTTTTGCGCACTGGCATCCGCAAGCAATTCTGCAGCCGTTGGCTGTCCATTAAGCAACATACTTAGCGCTGTCAATCCACAGGTGGGTCCTATCTGCCAATTGCACAGTTAAGAAAAGAATCTATACATTGTGCATATCGGGATTGCTAACTTGTAGGATGCTGTCGATGGGAGTATATTGGCATCTCTTGGGCTGTGTGTACTGACAGACACGACTAAGGAAACAGCCCTTCTGTAGTTCAGGGTAGTTCAATGCCCAGCTGCACTCATCGTTGGTTAATCGCGGTGCAATAACTTTATCTTTTTCTAAAGCTGTACGGAAACTGCTCGAGGTAGCTAGTAAAGGTGGTGGAGGCGGCGGCAGAGGTGGAACAGACGCGGATTCAGACATTTTCAGCTAAAATTTAGCAACGAGATTACTGCGCGGAGTTAAGAAACTTACAATAACAAATTAACAGCTGATTTCAGGCGACTGGCTGCACTGTACTTAAAAAATGATCTGCCAACTTGTCTAAAAACCAAATGTAAAGCGCTTCGGGTTTAAATATACAGAGCTCTCAATAACTGTTGAATGCACCTCGATGACTGCAAATAACTGTCTTTTACTGAAAAAAAAACGAGAGCGTTTTCAGTTGCTTTCCTAACCAGAGCTTAAAAAATACAACGTTAATCAGATATTGGCGATCTATGCTTTAGAACACTCAAATTTATTAAGAAAAGCCAAAGTTGAAACTATTTAATATATAATCCCGTTGAAAGGCAGGGATTTTCTTGGTTAATTTTTTTTTGCAAATGATAATCAAATTCTTTGTAAATTGCTTGGTGGAGATAAAGCGAAGCACAAGAGCGTTAAGGCTATGTGTATATACGATATGAAAAAGCTTTTCATTTGATCGCACGCTTACTCCCGCAATGCAATAGTTAAGCTTCTATGCGCTTTCTATAACTGCTCAGCTTTTATGGCGTTGTAAAAAAAGTATATCAGAAATTCAATCTATTTCAGTCGAGAGTAATGAATGTACGATGAAAGTTTCTTTTCTATTATCCGCGTTAGCCGGGGCTTAAATTGCTACAGACGTGTCTTCAAATATTCTGGTTACTTTTTATTTATTTTTATTGAACGTTCAATGCTTTTAGCGCTGTAAATGCTAATAGATATTCATTCCACTGATTTGGGATACAAAATATTTATTAACTTTTTTATTCATTGATGGACTATTAAATTACATGTACTGTGATTGGCATTGGCATTGATTACTCAGCAAGAACAAAATTCGTGGAAACTCATATCTTTATAGTCATATCATTACTTTTACAAGTTATTTACTTTGCAATTATCTCCCTTGAAGATTGATACCTTTGGTTGGAAATCAGGGTATAATGGTTTTGTGGAAATGTATGTAACAGGCAGAAGGAGGCGTAGCAGACCCCACAAAGTATATATTCTTGATCAGGGCGACGAGCTGAGTCCATTTGGCACTGTCCGTCCGTCCGTCTGTCCGTATGTTTGACTTCAAATTTTTTTCAAATGTCCGTATATACAGCTCGGATATCGACCTTATCACCAAAAATCGATAATTCATCCCGTTATTTTTTATCGATAAAAAACCGTATTGAAAATCAGTTTTAAAATTATATCTCCTACATCTTTAAAGCTAGAGTCTCCAAATTTTAAATGTGTACTTATATGCATTTTATACAATTTCGATTTTTGTTAAAATTATCTCCCACCTTTATATCCACCCACTCACCCACATATTTTTAAAAGACGTATTTCAAATACTAGAGAGGGAGTTCAGGGGATCTCGTAGTTGAGCAATTTCTACTAGAGCTTTCTTACTTGTTTAAAAGTGAAATGCATCTAATTTAAATGATTTCTAGTTTGAAAGATTGGCTGGATGTTGCCTGCACAGCTGTCTAATTAACGTAATCCCTAGTTTGTGGAAGGGTGAAATTGAACAGGAATTATAAAAGCCTGACTTTTATAAATTAGGGTAAAATTTCTCTTTTCGCTCAGACTTTTTACCAGCATTTAGACAAAAGGTACATTTAATTTAAAATTAGTTTAAACTTCTAAATATTACTAATTTAAATGCAACAGCATTTCTTTCTTTGATTTAGTCCATCCATTTCTAGAGTTGTAGGAAAATCTGCATCGCTTAGCCCCCTTTCCTGCGCATAGTCCATAGCCAATTTCGATGCTATTCTGAAAGCGTCTTCCACGTGTCGGCTATCTTTTGCTGAGATCTCGAAATGAGGTATATTGTTGTTCAGTTTACACCATTGGCGGACTTCCTCAGCTGATACCTTGACATGAATTAATATACAATTTATAATTACTTCAATTATTAATTATTTATCTCTGAGACGAACATTATATTTATTAAGATCAGCTTTATTTCCAATCATGACAAAGGGAAAACGCGTAGTGTCTATTGGACTTAGACTTTTTAGAAATCCAGTATGCCACATTTCTTACATATATATGAAAATTGCGTATATATAACGAACTAAAATATGGATTATTATCATCACTGTTGAAAATGGGAATTCATATATATTTTGATCGTACACTTTAAGAAATATTTTTTTAATTAATCCTAAACATGGATATTGTAAGAACGGTGCGTATCCGCAACTTCCTTAAATAATCTATTCTTTTTCTTTTCATTAGTTTCCTGTAGCATTCATAAAAGGGAATGCTAATTCATTCTTACAATTTCGAACATTTCTTCACGAGCAGATATGCCTCAACTGAGCAATAATACCATGACAACTTATGCTCCTGACATTTTCGATTATTAAGGCAGTATTTGGAAGGAATGTCCGCTCTTCTTCATATCAATTAAAAAGTATATTTATCTTTTTTATGTCATGGACAGCATGGGACAGCATGGAAATCTAAAAATCAAAAATGGGGCAAATATCACAGAAAAGTTGTTAGGAATGAACTCCATTAGTTACGTAAATGATTATTACTCACACAATACCATCTGGAATTTGCTGAATAAACAGACATGAATTTTGAAGTGCACAAGACATCAACTTAAAAGCTATATAAATATTTATATAACTGGAATGCTAAACTGATGATAGCTGACCAAATTGCTGCATATATAAATATTTACAATTGCAACATAAATTTAAAGCACTTGTATGATCACTTTTCATTTCAAATATAATGAGTTCTCACCCAATGTTTTTATTCCACCAGTAACTTTGCTGCAATGAACTTATAATAAATGCTGAGCAATCACTACTCGATAAAGACTTTGCCTCAAAGGTAAGTTACGAGCTTTCCCACTGCAGAAATATAAAACATTATCAGGAATCCAAAGCTTTGTGGTCGAGCGAAGGTGCAATGAATGTGCATACCCTTTAGTCTTACAAAATTTAACACTGCTGAGAATAGTACCTAATCTATATATATAAAAGAGAGTTGTGTAAAAGTGCTCTAACACTTATAACTTGATATGTGCTGGACCAGTTTTCATGGTTTTTGATTTGTTGGATTTGTCTCCGCCACGAGTAGGTCAGTAGATCTTTAAAATACTGAAAAAATTTGACGAATACTTGAAAAACGCGGTTTTTTCCCTAAAAAATAAAATATAAAAAATAAAAATATTTCAAATCAAAAATCTGCAAACATTAAAAAAAAAATCAAAAGATTAAAACCTGACTGTTCAAAAAATAAATA